GGCTCCTGCCCCAGCACCATGGCTGAAGACCTTCTCACCCCCTCCGTTCTGCAGGTTCTGCATGTTGTTGAGATGTTTGTCAGACTGCATATGAATACTGAGGTTGCCTTTGGTAGTTGTGGAGTAGTTACACACCTCGCAGCGGAAAGGCTTGTAACCACACGTGTAGCTCTCGCCTCGTGCCAACCGCGGGTGGGGCTGCCCGCTTTTGCAGTAGACACAGGAGCCCCCAGGCTCCGGGTGCTTCTCCTTCATGTGTGCCTCCAGCGTCTGCTGGTACTTATAGTGCCAGTTGCACTTGGGGCACTTGAGTGTCTTACACGAGTTACGAGAATGCATCATGGTCATGTGGCCACCCAGTGAGCGGGAAGAGCCCAGGACCGTGTCACATTTGGGGCACTCCACACCGCTACCCGAGGGGCACTCCCCAACCCCAAGCTCGCAGAGGGAGCCAGCATGCTGGTGATGAGGGACAAAGCCCCCATCGTCGCCCTCTGTGCTTTCATTTGGTTCTGGTGCTGTGGCATTGTCTTTATTGGCACTTTCGTCAGCGAAGTCCAGCCTCCTGCCCTCTGCCACATTGGCCCTGACGCCCTCACTGTTAAAGCTTAAACGATTCCTCCTGTTCGCACCATCGAAGACAACAAAGGAAGAAGCAGAGTTAGAAGTAGTAGAAGCTGTGCCCCTCGACAGGGTCTGGAGCACATTAGGCATTAAGGGGGAGTTAGAAATGCTTTGGTTTGAGAGAGCAAGGTCCTTTTTGCTGCTACCACCTGCTGTAGCTCCAGACTCCTCGGGGGCCCTGTCCTCCAGTTCCTCCTCCAACTCACTTGGAAAGAGTCCTTTGCAGCCCTCATCTTCCTCTTCCTCTTCTTCCTCCTCCTCTTCCTCCTCCTCCTCCGCCTCTTCTTCCTCCTCTTCCTCCTCTTCTGCCTCCTCCTCCTCGGCTGGCTCTGCTTTCTCGGAGAAGCAATCCGGATCCCCCACTTCTTGCTTATCTCCTTCAGCTGCCCCAGAGTCCTTGCCCTCCGAGGATTTGGTGGGACTGGCAGCCAGAGGCCCCAGGGGGACTGAGGTAATGGGGGTCTTCAGGACCGAGCTGGTGAGCCCGCCAAGGTTCAAGAGGGTGCTGGGGGTCAAGAGGCCAGCCTGGGGCTGCTCAGGGCCAGCAGCAGCGACGGCTGGGAGGGCCTCCTCCCCTTCCATGCGAATGCCACTAAATTTACCATAAAAACTGTGTCCGGGGCCTATGAGGTTAGCTGTGGAAACTAAGGGGTGTTGAAAGTTTTTGTTTTTTGGTTCCAGAAAACTTACAAGGGGTTCCTTGTCTTTGCCAATCCCTTGGATGATAGCGGAGATGTTCTTATTGCTAAGAATTTTCCGCTCCTCGTCACTCAGGGTCATTCGATGGTCGTGCACCGCATGGGTCACAAATGAACGGACATACCCAAAGGAGAGTTTGCACAAGAAGCACATTAGGATGGGCTTCCTCTTGCCGTAGAGCACAAAGCCATCGAACTTGGACAGGTCCACATTGTTGGGAACATCTTTGGATACGCAGGAGCTTTTGGCAGAACCGTCGCTGTTCAGGTAATCCTTGTTGCTTTTGTGTCGCACGTCAAAAACGCGGAAGCTGTGCAGGACAGGGCTGAGCCCCGCCAGGGCTGAGGTATTCGGGAAGGCCTGGTCTGAGCCCTCAAACCATTTCCCGAAGGATGAGGCTATGTGGAAAGTGTTGATGATCTGCGGGTACACGGGTGCAGCACACGAAGGGTCCCCTTGTTTGCCCCCCGCCCCGGGGAGAGAGTTCAGGAAGAGCGAGGGGACAGGCCCACTGCCACTGCTGCTGCTGCTGCCACATGTGGCCCCGCTCTGGGCCAGCTGGCTCAGGCTCTCAACAATGTACGCGGAGCCATCTGGCTGGTAGACGATCTCCCCGGCCAGGTTCTCCACGTCACTCTCCTCATCACCCTCCTCGCTGGTGTCACTGGCGCTCTCCTCTCGCAGGGGCGGTGGGGGACGTGTGCCAGGGCAGTGGTGCTCCATGTAGGTCTGGAGGCTGGCAAAGGAGGCTGAGCACTCGTTGCAGCTGACCTCCTTGCTGGCAGGCTCAGCTGGCGGCCCGGCCGAGGTGCTGCTGTCCGCCAGGCGCTCATTGAAGGGGGCCCTTAGGCTGTCCAAGGGCCCATGGCTCTCGCCTGTGGGCTGCTCCATGCTACTGGGTTTGTCGGGGAGGTGGGTGCTGTTGAGTTCAGTCCATTGCCGGTGCTGAGGGATCCCGCACCCATTGTCCTTCCCCGAGACGACGGGCGAGTCACAGCCTTCCATGGTAAGGCCTGCGTGGAGCTTTCATTGCACCCAGTACGGATCGGACCTGAAGGGTGGAGGCAAGGGGGGAGGAGGGAGAAAGGGGAAAGAGAGAGAGAAAGGAAAGAGGTTAGGAGGGCCAAGGCTAAGGTCCCGCACAGAGTGCTCTAAGCAGCTTCCGTCCATACCCACAACACAAGGCTTGCAGGGCAGAGGGCAGACTGGGGGACACGGCCCAGCACAGTACAGTACAGAGAGGGCAAGCAGCGCCATGGACAGCACAGCCAGGACCATGCAGTGAATGGGAGATGGGAAGAGCGGTCAGGAACACACACACACACACACACACACCCGCCTCTGACTTCACACGGTCTGTCACTCTAGCCCCTACAGACAGACCCGTTGGAATTTTCACTGTATGTCATCAGGGCTTCGAGTCAGGCTGGGCAGGAAGCCATCGTGGAAGAGGCCTGTTATCTTTCTAGTACCCAATGAGGTCACAGAAAGGGCCCTCCTGCATACAGATAGCTTGCATTAAGTCATCCCTAGCTGATGATACTGTGGAATGGGGCCATCTGGGATGATGAGAAGAGGGAGCTTCAAGAAGAAAATGGTAAACTGAGAAGTGCCCCAGAGATGTAGAGAAATCAGAGGTGCTTTTCAATGGCCATGTGTCAAGTCTGATAAGTCCAAACAAACAAAGGTCTACAAGGTTCAGAGGGTGAAGGTGATGGCTTAGAAACATCCTGCAAAGGGCCACATCTTCCCCCCACTTGAGATCTCAGAAGCAACTGAAGTCCCATTTCTCAAGCAGTAAACCTTACATGGTAAATCTCAACAATGTCACTCATCAAACTGAAGAGAAGACACCCCAAATTCCCACCTCCTCCACCCAAACCAGGAAAGCTTCCTAGTCTGGGATTCAGAAGAATTCTTCTGAAAATATGAAGGCACCAAGAATAAGAACTGGCCTGACTTTCAGTCTGCCAATGCCCCCATGGGGGGAGCAGTGTCACACCCCACCTGCGGAGAGACCATCCACCATGTGTGTGGTGGATTTTCCCTGGCAAAGGTCTTAGCACAGGCAGAGACAGCAGCTGGGCTTAGCAAGCCCTACTTCCACACCTGCCTCTCAGTTATTAGTTGCTACCCAAGCAGCTGTCCTTCAGCCCTGAGGCTCTTCCGTTTCCGACTCCAGAGTACTACTAAGCTGAACTTGCCCTCTGAGAGCTCCCCTCCCTGGGGAAGGTAGCAACAGATCACAGACTGCCTGGTTCCTGCAACATCACCGCAGGGACAGTTATTGCCTTGCTGCTGTCCTCCTACAGGTGGCTCAGCACTCCTTAAGAGTTTGGTCTTTTACCCACAGACCCCAGGCCATCTGTCCCCTGCTCCACCATCTCATTCATAAGCAGCAGACAAAGCTTTTGGCTGGGTTTCATCTCCCTCCATCTCCTGCCAACCCTGTCTTAGTCTTTTATATTTCTTCAGGTTTGACTGCATAGTGAGCCAACAGCTCCCCCTCGGGAAAAGATGGAGAAGGCAGGCTTGCAGAAGCCGCAGAAGAAATCACTTTTTCGAAGACTGTGCCAGGACTGATTTAAAACTCACATGTATACACTTGTCTGTCAACTGATAACCTCAGTCTCTCTGACAGCGAAACTCTGTGTGCTTTAGAAAGGACGGGTTCGTTTGAATCAGATCACCACACCAAATCAACCCCAATGGCAAATAAAACACGACTTCCCATAGGGCTTAGCTGGGATATAGGTGAGAATCTGGGGAGGCTCTTCTTAGGGATGTTCCTGATTGGCTGGATGACACCTGATTGACAGTTCAAGTCAAAAAGGTTGGCAGGTCTGAAGGGGCGGGAGGGTTAACAGCCCGATTGTAAAATCAATGTCATAAATGCTTGGTAAGTTACAGGAACATGCGGGAAGGGGAGGCCACGATTGATAAAGGAGAACAGCTTTGATGCTGCACCAGGGACTTGTTTATCGACAGCAAAGCCAATCTCCTCTCCAGCCTGGGCTGGGCCAGAGAAACCTGCTAGCATTTACCAATTAATTGGTGGGCTTTGCTTACGCTGCTCTCTTCTTCCTCCTCCATGAACTGGCCAGCTAAGGGGTTGGGGCTTAGAAGACAAAATAAAACAAACAAATAACGAAACAAAACCTCCCTTAAATTTGTTTTCTACTACCAAGTAGGTAATGATCTAGTGACTACTTTTGAAAGGTAGATAGCTAGCTGGTGACTGGGCCAGCTGGGTGTGGAGGAGGGGAAGGGTATATACACTCAGCCACAGGAAGTTGATAGTCCATAAAGATACAGGTGGGAAAGAGACCCCAATTTCCAGACCCTGGCTGCCTGCTTTAGTTAGAGCTTCTCTTTCACACATGCTGGCCAAGTAGAACTTTTGACAGCCCTGTGAATAAGTGGTGTGGTTCGGGGGCTAGTCACACTGTCCTGAGAAATGCAGACTCCTGGTTCACACCCCATTCCCAACAGATTCTGCATGCCATTGTCATCCCTGGGAACTTGAATTAAAGCTCAGGACACTGCTTCACAGCATCCTCACCACAAGACCAGCTTGCTTGTGCCTGGTCCCCATATTGCCAGGTAAGCGAAGAAGGATGGCCACATATATCCCCTGCCTCGTCCCTAGTAGATACAGGAATAAGGAATGGACCACAGAAGGGGAGGGGGGGTGCACTGACATGAAGCAGTCTCTTCATCCTGCCCAATCTGGCAGCTCATGGGCCTCAGGGCATCCACTACTCTCCCACCCAGCGTGCTTGCTCTGTTTATCAGCCAGTCAATAAGAAAAAGGTAGTTCTTACTTAAGGAGGCAGAAGTCAACTCGGCAGGTCGATCAGCACTCTGTCTGTAAACATGGTTTCCCGTAAAATCAATGCTCTTCAGTTACAGAGGGCAGCCTGGGAACCAAGTGGGTCCCCACACTTTCCCGGGAAGCCCTGCCAGTCAAAATTCACAAGCCTCTCCATGGCCCCCCAGCCCACCCCTCAGGCTGTGACCCATCCCACATGCTCTCCAGTCTGGCTCACCGGAAACTCTCAACTCTTCCTGCCGGCCAATTCTTCTTCCCCTGGCCACTCCCCCGGGTTTCCTTTAAATGACCTCAATATTGTATTCAACACTATTTCAAAATCAGTTAAATTTAAAAAAGGAAAAAAAGCACATCTTTCCAATGACAGAGTTTGAAAGGAGACGGGAGTGATCTGGCAAGCATTTGTACACATCCAGTCTTGCTCACTCTCTCATTCCACTAAATCTGCCATTTGAAAAGTACTCCATGGAGAACTCCAACACCTTAAGAATAACCCCAATAAAAGTGGGGGGAGAACCTGTGTTCATCCCCACACCACAGTTCCCTGTCTCAAAGCCCACTGTAGTTTTGCAAACACCAACCTCTTTAAAATATTGCTTTAGAAGGATAAAATGCTACCAGGTACAATGTGACAAGCCACTCATCTTGGCAACTATCTTCCTCTTTAAACTAAAAGGGTGTGTAAGGAAAGTTCTGTCTTATTCCAGGAAGGAGATAGGGCTGGATGAAACACTAATGTTTTCTGGTAGGCTGGGTAGGGGTGTGCAGTTCTAAGGAAGGGGAGGGGGCTCCCGCTGTTGCTTCAGCTCCCAGAGAATTAAACATGAAGTCACACTGTGTAATTTTAAATTGTTAATTAGCACAGGGTTAATTAGGCGGTCCTTTCACAAGGGGCTGTTTGGCAGAAAACCAAGAAGGGAAACAAAGGGGAAAGAAAGAAAAACAAAGAGAATAGAGACAGCAAGAGAAACTGTTGCCTCTGCGAATAACCTGCAGGGCATCACCAGAGACGTCAGCCAGCACGCAAGGATGCCTGGGTCCTCCAGGGACACTTCATCCCGCCCCAGGGAAAAATGTAAGGACCGCCCCTCTCCAGGGACCCAGGCAGTGCATAGCACACACTGCCAACATGTTTTGACTCAGCAATTTCTCCATTCTAGGAATGTATTCCAAGGAAACAACCCAGGAGATGTGTGGACATGAAATTGCTCATAATAAGATTTATAACAGAAAAAAAGAAGAAGAGAAGGAAATAATCAGGCAAAAGCAGAGACTAAATTACAGTTTGTGCAATTCAACATGTTATAAGGCTGATAACTAACACTCAAGAAACCATTTACAAGCAATGGAAGCTGATCAGCTGCAAACTGAGTGAAGGACAAGTAGGTATGGATACAGCCATCATCGTATTTCTATCCAAGTATTTATGACAGTAAATTTGAGGAGGCGGGGTTATGGGTGACTTCATTTCCTCCCTTGTGCCTGTATTTCCCAAAGCTTTCTAAAGCCCTCATAATGGAAACCGTTACTAACTGAGTTAGGAACAGAGAGCAATACCTACAGGTATAATCATAACCACTCAGAGGGGTGCTGTTCTTATCCCCATTCCAGAGTTGTAAAACTGAGATTGCTCATGCTTGGGTAGTCTAAATGACAAAGCAGATAGTTGCTGTAGGATCTGTGTTCTTAGACACTATGGATAGTTTCCTTTTGATGTCTACTGTCAACAGACAACAATGAAGCATCCTGACAGCCAATATTTGCATTAGACCTTCATGTGCCCAGAGACTATTCCAAGACCAGGACTGCTCACACCTATCAATCCAAACAGGAGAATTCAAAGTGCCCATCTTCATTTGGACACCATCAGACAGCTGCAAGAGCACAAGAATAGAGACACCACAGCAGAGTCATGGAAGGCTGGTCCAATATTCTGGTTTCTTTTCTTTTCCTTTTTTCTTTCTTTTTTCAGAAAGAAGGGGCGTAACGAAACTGAAGTGATGGCTCTGTGGTTAAGAAAGCTTACTGCTCTTGTACAGGACCCATGTTGGGTTCACGGTACCCATATCAGGCAGCTCACAATTGCCTGTGAGTGCAGCTTCAAGGGGTCTGGCACCTCTGGATTCCTGGGGCACCTGCACTCACATACACCACATACCCAGGGGCCAGAGATGGCTCAGTGGATAAAAGTGCTTGGTGTTCACTCCCCAGACCCAGGA